CTGGCACATAGTAAATGCTTACTACATTATTATTATTATTATTATTATTATTATTATTATTCCCTTGCATCAACCTCGGTGTCACCCTCTATTATATTTTTAACAATATGTTTTAGAATAATTTCTATCTCCCCAAACTAATTATGTTACAGCTTTGTTCAAAAATCTTTAATGACTTCAACTGGTATTCTATAGTCAGTTGTGAGGTATGGCAAGAAATTTGTTTTTAATACCTTAAACATTGAAGTTGGTGGATAATTTTCTTAAAATTATTATATATTATAGGAGATTCAAAGTTTTCCTTTCAATACTGTCAGTCTCACTTGTATTTGTGTTTGCTTTCTTTTTTTTTTTAGCATCTTAACCATTTTTAAGTGTAGAGTTCAGCGGTATTAAATTTATTCACATTTGTGCAATCATCACCACCATCCATCTCCATAGCTCTTTTCATTTTATAAAACTGTAACTGTGTATCCAATAAATAGCTCCTCATTTCCCACTCCCCTCAACTCCTGGCAACCACTATTCTACTTTGTGTCTTGATGATTTTGACTACTTTAAATATGTCATGTAAGTGGAATCATACAGTATTTGTCTTTTGGTGGCTGGTGTATTTCACTTAGCATAATGTCCTCAAGGTTAATCTATGCTGAAGCATATCACAGAATTTCCTTCCTTTTTAAGGCTGAATAATATTCCATTGTATGCAAATACCACATGATGCTTATTCATTCATCTGTTGATGGCTACTCGGGTTGCTTCCACGTTTGCTTTCTTAAGTGGGAGATAAACGGGCCAAGTGATACCTGTGTTATATTTAACCCTGGAGGCTTCCTTGGAAGTATGTTACACACGTGGCCATTACTTTTCATGTGTGACAACTGAGAATGACTGGCCTATAGAAGATATTCCACTTCTTAGCAGGACACACGCTTTTCACAGTGGGCCCTAGTCCAGACTCTTTGCCAACTCTTACTTTCCACTAGTTCCTATTTGCTTTATACCAAAGCGAAGCCATACTCTTTCGTGCTTCTTGGGCTTTTATCCATGCCGCTCCCTCTGCTTTGGTTGCCTGCTCAGCTGCCTTTCACGCCTGTGGAATTTCATCTCATTGCTCAAGGCCGAAATCTGATATCATCTCCTCTAGGAAGGTGGAATGTTGTCTTTTCTCCAGCATTTTTTCTGACTTCCTGTTGGGAGGAATGAATGAGGCCCCACACTTGCAGCACTAAGTTGGCTGGCTTTCCACAGCCTGCACTACTCCTTAAGATGTTGCTGCTGTTCCTCTCTGGGCTGCCCTGTTTGCCATGTAGGAACCCTGTGCTAGTGTCACCTTAAAAAGGCCATGGCAGGCACAGGTGGGATAGTAGACAATACTTGCTGTCACCACAGAGACCCCTGAACACATCTCAATAAGTGTACCAGATCCTGAGGTCTGATAGATTGGTCTAATGTGAGAAACCTGAGACTGGAAATCAGGAGATTCAGGGTTTCTGGTTTAGACTTAAGGCTATTCATTATTCAGGAGCTGCCTTTGGGCCACTCACGTCACTATGCTGGGCCTCACTTTTCCTAGCTGCAAAATGGGTTTGATCCCTGACCTGCCTACCTCTTAAGGGTGTTATGAAGTTCAGATGAGATCACGTGTTTGGGAATTGAAATGCTGGCAAGAATTTCTATTGGCCCCCTTTAACCTTGAGATAAAGGCCAAACTGTAGTGTGACACATAGGCCCTCCTCACTGGCTTTGCTTGTGCCCTCTTCTGTACCCTTCTCTCTCAAAGCCACACCCTTCTTCAAACATTTCCCTCAGGCTGAACTGTTCGTAGTCTCTTGCCTAAAATAGAATGCCCTTCTCCCCACCACCGTCCCATCTTCGTTCAACTTGGGCCACAGCCTAGACTTCTCTAAGAAGCCTTCCTTGATCTTCCCACTAGACTAAGCGAGGTATCTTTCTTCTGCACCCCAACAAAACCTTGAACTTCCTTTACTGGAGCACGCATTACATAATATTACAATTGTCTGTCTCTTTGTCTCTCCCATTAGACTGGAAGCTCCATGAGGACAGAGACCATGTCTGTCTTGATTCTGTGTGGGATACATAGTGGTTGCAGAAATACATAGTTGTTGAATAAATGAAAGAACAAACGAATGAGGGGATGAATGGATATCGCACACATATGATGTGTCCTTGCAGTCTTTTGAAGTAGTGTGATTTTCCCACAAGATTAGTTCAACATTGACATTATCCACTCTTGGCACTGAGTATAAGCATCAGGAGTGCTTGCTTCCTTTGGGGACAAGTGTCACTGCCCAGGTGGCAGTTGATGTGCCTTCCAGGGCAACTGCCTGCTCGGTTGTCCTGTTTGCTGGTCTGAGATTTGAAGTGACCCAATGGGGATGGGGGATATGTTTGCATAGAGTCTGGCTTAAGTCAGCTTATTTGGTATAGTCTTGCTGTTTGGCAGTCAGATCAAATTCCCCAAATAGCCTTCTCCTTGCTTGAAGCACCCTGGGAAAGAAGTTCTGTGAAGACGCGAAGTTGTGGTCTGAAAGGAAGACCAACCAACCAACCAAACAAACAAACAAACAAAATGGTGGCAGAATTTGAAGACTTTAATCATCTGCACCTGCCTGTTAGCTCAGTTAGGTTTTTATACTTCAGTGTGTCTTTTAAATGTTCCCCACTTCTTCTGTAGTCCCTACTTGATCTCCCCTCAATAGTTCCCTCCATCTCTCAGCCTCCCCTGCTGAGGCATGAAAAAAAGGAAAAAAACCCTCTGGGAGTGGGTGGTAGGTGAAGTAGGTGGTGTTTTGTGTAGAGATCCTCAGGCTGTATAATGGAAACCACAGGTGTGAAATGGAAACTCTCCTACCAGGGCTTCGAGCCAGTGTGCAAGGGGATGGTAGAGCTTCTATGTACTCTGCCCCTGTAGCATGCTGCCTGAAGGTGCGTAGCGGGGCCATGAGCTGGGAGTTCCAGGGCCAGGCCCTTGATACAGGCCCTAATTCACCATAACATTGAACAAATTTTTGGCCTGGCTTCCTCATGTGAAGAATGATAAGTTTGGGCCAAATGCTAAGATCCCTTCTAGCTCTAAAGGCAGCAGTTATAAATCAAAGGTTAGCCCCATATTATCTGAGGGATGGATGTGGGAGAGTTGGGGATGGATGTGATAGGTTGCAGTCCACAACTGGCCTGGCCTAAGGCATTTACTAGACTGTAAACTCACTGAAAGCATGGACTGTGATTTAACTCTTATTTATCTCTTCCACTTATGAGATATAAATGGTAAACAAATTGTTTTGCTTTTGCACCCTTTCCCCCTCCCTCAAGGGGTTGGTAGTATCTATTACACAGGACTCAATTGTTGCTTGGAAACCCTGCCCCCCAGGTGTCCAGTAAATTTTTGTCAAGTACAAACCTTGGGATTCTAGTCAAAACTACATGTTCTAGGGGATAACAAAAGGCTCTTTCCTTTTCCCTTTTGGTCATCATTAAGAAAGGTGTTGCTGTTTGCAGTAACTATGGTGTCCTCATTAGAAGGGGCTCCCCATCTCATCTAGTCCTAGTCCATGTTTTCAGACATACTCACTTCATAGACGAGAAAACCAAGGTGCAGGAAAGGGCTTGCCCAGTATCAGATCAGCAGGCCAGAATCCTAGCTGCGCACTAGCCATATGACCCATACACATCACATACAGGACTCCTGCCTCCACACTCTTTTTAATCCACTAGGTGTCCTGGTCTCCATGACCTGCGTGCTTTGTTATTCCTTAGACAATCTATGGTGGATGCTATATACCTTGTCACTTCGGGCGGGAGCTGAGTGGTAAATGAAACCAAGTAAGGTGGCTATTCGGTCACTCTCTCTGGGTCCAAGAGAGGAGAATCCTAAGCGATGGTGGTCATAGGGGCTCTTCAAGCAGTCAGGTCTGACTTAAACACTCAACCCACAAACATACATATTCTCTCTCTCTCTTAGACACACACAAACACATATCCCATGAATCTCCTGTTTCTTCTGCCCATCAAGCACTGTTCTCAGGAAAATGTTGAGAAATGCACGCACTCTGAGGTGGTCAGTGACAACATGGCTCAATGTGGGATCTGTCTTCAAGCTTCTGGCATTTAAACAGGGAGCAAAGCCAGAGAAATAAACCCACCGGCTGCATCACGTACATTCTTACTGAATCCCCACCCGGATTGAGGACAGAGACACCGTGACAACCCCTATTACAAGTGAGGACACTAAGGCACAGAGAGCACAATTCCTTATCATATCTGTCACAGCCCATTGATGGCCTCTATCTCAAGCCCCGAAATTCCCATCGGGATCTCATACACATGCACATTGAGAGGAGACAGGAGGGGGAGTTGCTTGAACTTTTGAAAACCCTGAATAAGGCTGGCTAGATTTTTACCTGGGTGGTTAAGGATGATCTAGCCCCTGAAAAACACTAACATGTGAACATGCCCATTCCTTGTTTGAAGCTTGACAAGACCTGGGCAGTGAAGCCCCTAGCGATTTTATGCTCCCACAAGGATGAGGATGAACAGCTGGGTTTTGTGTGGCCTTCCTGTGGTTGACAAGCTCAAGGGTTTTGATGAGAGGTTGTAACGGGCTGCCAGCATCAATCTGTGCTTTCCAGCCCACACCCTTTGATATTTTGGTTGTCCCAGGTAAACCTATGCTAAGGCCAACACAGATCAAATTTATAACCCCTGTGCAAAGATTTTAAAAATAATATATGAAAACCAAAGTAAGATAAAAGGCCACTGGGCATAATACCAACTCTTGACTGCAATAAAGACAGCCAATAAAAAAAGCTAATTAAAAGAACCCTGATGACATTCATCTGAAATTTCAGATTGTTTTATGTTTTAACAAATTAACAACAGTGATAAGAGGACATTAGCAGCTTTTTCTTGAGTCTCTTTGTTAACAATAACTTGAGCCTGCAGCCACAACACGGGCTGTGGCCAAGTTTGAGCTGGCAGACCAGCAAGCCAGTATTTTATACAATGGTTGACATTTCTGAAAGCAGAGACAAGAGACAAACACAGAGTCACACATGTATGCCAACAAATAAGTTTCTGCCATTTTTAATTATATTTAGAGCAACACAAGATTCCAAGATTACAAAAAGAAAACAGAACACTAGCCCGCTGGAGAACTGAAGCCCCAGAGTAGAAGTTTCAAGCAAAACGAATGTTTCTGTTACAAAATCTGTATATGATGCTGTTCCTTTCTTTTTCCCTCAACATCAAAATCCATTCTTAGATCTGGTTAGACAGTCTGCTCTCTCCTGCTGCCAAACTAATCTCAAGGACAGCATAAGAGTGTCATGTTTGAGGCACTCCCTAATCAATGTTCCAGTCTAAGGGAAAGCAGAAAGGTGTCACTGAGTGGCGAGGGGACTCTGTTTTGGCTTGGGCCATCCCAGGGGTGACTCCTCTCAGCACCCGGATGGCTTATGGGATATGACAACCCCACAGGCACGACACTGCTGGACAGTTAGCACCAAGGGCTCAGGTTGGGAGAGACTGGGGGCTTGGCCTTTCTGTTGTGCAGGAAACACGGTCTCCCATTTGAAACATCAGCCAGGGAGGGCACCACCAGAGAAGTAGCATTTCAGAATGGTCTTTCTTTTGGGCTTTGTGGACGGTCTAGACTTCAGTAGCCAGTGGAATCTGCAGCTATACGGCAGCCTTGTTAAGTGTGCATGTGGGGACTGCTTTGGGCCACAAGGGCCACGCAGTTCATAGCTTCTCATTTAATTCCATGAAAGGCCAAGAACAAGGGGGATGAGGAAGGGAACCAGCACCCCTGCTATACTGAATTGGTGCTGGAAACCAATCGATACCTATTACTTACTGTCTGGCCAAATCAAATGGGGATACATTGAAGCTGAGTCAAAGAGTGTTGTTGTATTCTTTACGACTCTACCTGCTAAATTCAAATACCACTCATTCCGGGGGGAGTGGGAACATTCCAAATAGTTTGGTACCTTAGTTGAAGTGTCTGAAGAGGAGTGAATAGTGTGGATTTTTCTGCTTTCACCTAGAAATGGTTGAGAGTTGGGAGGCTCTGGGCAACGGACCCCAGTGTCAATCTCTTAATTGAAGAAAAATACCCCTGCCTGTGGGCAGAGATGGACCTGTACCTATAGAGATACTACTTCTAGTACACTGACAAATTTTTAACAGAGAAAAACACATTTTCATTGTCAAAATCTTTACAGAACATATCCAAAATCAGAATTAAAGCACACAGACACCCAGTAGCAAGAGACCTCTATCGCAGGTGAATTAATCATGTGAAAGGTGGAGCTCTTGCTCGAGGTTCCCAAGTGCAATAAACTGCCCTTTTCTCACAAGGATGGTGAAGAACAAAGAATGTCCTTCCTTCTTCCAACTGCTCAGGTCCCATTAGGGGGCCACTGGCTAATCATTTGGGTGGGCCTTTGGCCCCAAGTCTGGGCCATCCATATAGTAAATCCCAGTTGGTTCCAATGGGTTTGCACCACCCTTTAAACATTCATCAGTCTCTGGCTAGTAAAGTGCAATACATCCTGTACCCTACCAATTGTCCCCCTCTGCTCCTTTGCAAGGCCTGTGGGTCAGGCCCCAGTAGGGGCAGTGATCTCTTCGTTATCTGATCAACCCGGGTGTCTTGCGTTCTGAGAGAGCTTCCAAAATGTAAGTGCAGCCTCTCTCACAAGTACATGGTATCCATCGTGACCTAGAGCCAAATATAAAGGTGCAGAGAAAGGTAAAGCTATCAAAACACATTACATCTCTATCTATATATGTATCTATCTATATCTATTAGTATATAGATATAAATAGATATAGATATTATAATTAAATTTTGAAACATGGATACAAATACTCATTTACAGTATATTTCAACCTTCTGCCTTGAACTGCAGAGAACTTTTTATGTCTTCCAAAGTGGGCAGAAATGAGGATTTCTGCCTGCTGTCCCTCTAGTGCAAAAGCAAGTCCTTCCTCAGCAAGGGCTTCACATCTTCAGCTAAGCTAACATGGGCACTAGCAAACACAGGGGCCAACCATGCGATGATGGCGCTTCAAAAAGGTGCTCGACGACTACTAGGAAAAAGGGAAGCTAGCTCTGCGTGTACAATCACTCAGTGAAGGACCCACAATCTCATGTTTTGTCAAAATGACCTCCCACTCTTCTAAACATATATTGTGGGGGTGGGGGAACCCACAAAAGTCTTATGAGTCAGTCACCAGCGAAGTCCTTTAGTCTGTCTTTGGATAGCTTACCAAAGAGGCACTAATGTTTACTCCCTCCCTGCCCTTAAAAAATTTGGTATCTTAGCAGATACAGTGTAATCTTTGGTTATATAATGTGATGCTCTCATGTCTTTGTCTTTTTAAAAACATCTTTCAAAGATTTCAGAGAGATTAGTGATGAGAGTAGAACTGCCTATAAAAGGCAGCAGGGGTAGAAACTTCCTTTTACAAGAAATTGCACATGGTAAATGGCTTTTTGTGACTTTAAGTTGGGGATTTGATCCTGTGCTTTAGCATTCCTGATTCCCATGACTCCCTTTCGGGGGCGGAGCATGAAGGCCACTCCTTTGGCTCAGTGGCCCCTCCTCTGGGCGACTGGCACAGGAGAATCACTGGTCAGCCTCCTGGCTTCCCTGTTCACTGTGCACAGACCATACGGGGATAGCTACTGAGCTGTCAGGAGAGGGTCTCATGAAGTGCAAGCCTGGCACAGCGTTGGGAAGGGATAGAAGGAGTGGCTTGGGCTTGTGCTCCCTGCCAAATATCCAGGGAGTAAAGAGGGCAAGGCCGTATCTGTGCTACTTGATGTTCAAAGTTACATCATTTGTATAATGTCAGTATCATGTTGAAGATGGGCCTACTTTCTCCTAAAGTACAAACAGAGTTCTTGTTATGTATGCATATATGCATTTAGAAATAAACTATGGGCAGAGAGGGACTCTAGTACCAGCAAATTATTTCTCAACCCTCAGCAACTACCCAAAGCACACAAGGACAGAATGAAGCATTTTTTTGTTTGTTTTTTTTTTCTTTTTTAGTGCCAGTGAACATATATAAAATATATATGTATTACTGATTTTCTTTTTCAAAGATATGTGACAGAATCCTTCAAAAGTTCCCTTTCTCATTAAAAAAAATGAATGAACTCTCCGAGGACAATGATACGGTCTGTGGCACAGAAAAGCTATGATCAGAGAACCCACTCGCCATTTCAGCTCAGAGGCCAGGTCTGGGTGAGCTGCGCAATGAACAGGAGCTGAAACGGCCACGGGCCTCTTTTCTTTGAGCACAGACTTGGTGCTTGTGGCAGCTGTCTGCGGCCCCCACAGATGGGGTCTTCTCTCTGGAGCTCCTGCTTTTTCTCTTCCTCACACTCCATCCCCATCGAACACTGTAGACGTCTTTGGGGATAGCCCCTGTGCCTTGTCTATCAGTGATGGGCATCTTCCAGTTCACAGGTGCGCAGGTCGGGGTGCTGATCCTTCATGGGTGAGCACAGTGTACGAATCGCATCAACTCTGTTTCTAGAGCAGAGTGCGGTGCATGCAAAATGAGACTTCCTTCCATTCCATTGGCTGGAACACCCATGGCCCTTTCATCTGTGGGAGAACAGATCCAAGCTAAAATACGTTTTGCTCATAGAAACCCCACTGCAAAACCAGTAGGCCTTCTTTAGGCTGTTTTGCCCTAGTCTTGCCATTCAGGAATTTGGAGTAATCCCGTTGTTCCTGCTTTCAATTACACTGATTTTGGGCTTTCACAAATGAAAAACATATATATTCATAAAGACAAGTCACGACTGGGAAATCCATAAAGATGAAAAATGTGATAGTTAGAGAAATGGAAAGGAGAGCCTCTAGTCTTTACAAGGATACATATTAGAATGCTATCCATGTACCACAAAAGATGAGAATCATTTCAAAACGTATGTAAAGGAACTATTTAAATGTAACCTAGTTTAACTGAAAAGAGTGGTGGATTTTTTTTTTCTGTTGAAAACAGCTAAAAGTGATCCTATGAGCTTCTATACGCCAAAAGGTATCATAACAAAGACAAGCGACATTTAGCTATCCTACCCCAGCAAGAGAACCTGGCAGCTTCGCTTTTCTCAGGCAGCCTTGGATTGGTGCAGTGCCATCTTAGGTTCCTGTTTCCCTTGTTATTTAAAGACGCTGTTTTGCAAGTTCATTTGGCTATTAATATCAACACAGAAATCAGGGGATGAAACCCATGGAGATCATATCATGTCACTCAGAAAGTTATCTTCTCAACAAGTAAAGTGAACCAACTAAAATGGGCAGCTTGGTGACTGGCTCCTAATTTCTTGAGTTCAGCCGATGAATTTAAGAGCTAAGTGAGGAGGCAGTGGCCAAGATGAGCAAGTAGGTGGCCATCCCCCGCTGCACTTGGGATTGGGGGACGAAGTCAACAGAACAGAGGTGTGCCAAAGGACTGCATGAAACCAGTGTCCCAGGAACACACTGTGAGTTCACGGGTGGCAGCCCGTTGGAGCCACACCAACCAGACCTTTCCAAAGGAGGCCGTGGCTCGGTACTCTCAATGTCTCGGCTTCCCTCTGATGCAGAGGCCGCAACAAAGGAGCCCAGAATCAGCAGCAGAGGGGGAGGAGTGAAGTCACCAGATGGCACCCGTCTGGCTTTATGCTTTGCCACTGAAGACTTTAATTGGGTCTTCAGAGTGTCCTCTTGGTTTCTGCTCTCTCATTGCCATGACTTCCACAAGCGGATGTGCTGGGGCGGGGGTGGGGGGTGGGTGGGCAAGGAGAGTGCTTCCAGGGGTTCTGGGTTGAGTACCTTCATTCTTCTCAGCCTGGTCATGGAGTTTTCTCTTCAGCCATAATCTGGATAGCCCCTTTCACTGCTCTGAAGGAAGAAGTTGGCATTTCTCCACTTGGTGGGAAGGCACCATCTCGGGGGGACAAGGGCAAGATGCCCAGCTTGTCCAATCTTGTGATGCCTTCTTTTCTGTTTCTCTGAGGGCTCCAGAGATCTGGTAGTTGATGAGAGACATTTGGCAAGAAGTCTTTGACCCTGATGGCCTCTGAAGATAGATGCTAAAGCTGCTGGCCTTCTTGGTGTTGGGGGCTCTTAGCAGAGAGTCTGTGAACAAGCCCAGAGAAGTGGAAGCTTCACCACTGTGGCTGTAACGCCGCGTGCTGAAGCTCAGGCCCAGGAAACACCGAAGGGGGTGAAGGGAACTTGCAGCTGCATGGAGTCAGGCTGAAAACATTCAGGTATTTTAAAGGTGGGAGCAAGAGGAACCCATTCTTCAGTATGCCAAGCACAACAGCCAAGCCACTGCTTCCTTTTCCCTCTGACTCCAGCCCCAGGCTCCTTCCTGGTCCACAAATGGGAAAGCTGACCTGGATTCGAATGGGGCCTTATCTCACCTCTCCTCGATGGTCTCACTTCAGTGGCCAGGGCCAAGTTTTGGCTAAAGGGAAAATTCAGTTCCAAGTTCTTAGAAAAGCTGTTGAAAGTCCATTTGAGGGTGGAGGCAGAGGGTGAAAGACAGAGGAGATGGGGTGGGGGTGGGGGGCGCGTCCACATGCCGACAAGTTTTTAAACAAGAAGCACATTTCAGCACAATGAAGCGCACTGCACTTGAGCAGTCTACCCCTCAGGAGCCAAGGCTGTGGGCAGGTGCTGGTGACCCATCTGTCCTCTTTGTCCTGTCTTAACCCTGTCTCCACCACGAACCAGCTCGGGGGTCACCCTGCCCTCTAATGCCAATAGCCATCAGCAGAATATAAGTCTCCTGAGTAGGGAGGGTTTGGGCCAAAAGCAGTGGATCCCCATGGGCCTGTAATGTTCACCTTATTCTAATCACTGTCAGCCTCTTTGGGGATTTGTTTTTGTAGTTTTGATAGGAAAAATATCCTAGCAAGGTTTTTTGTGTTTTGTTTTGGGTGGTTGTTGCTGTTGATTTTGCTTTCCCAGATACTCTTAGTTCTGCGAAATTCACGTGGCATTAGGTGAGTAAACGTTTGTGTGGCTGGCACATAGCACAGTGCTATAAACAAGCACAACTTGACACTGGGCCACGTGAGGATCACCACAGATTTAAAGGAATACAACACCATTCAGAACACAGAGAAGAGCCATGGCAGGAGCAGAGTCTGAAAGTGCCGTGGGAAGGTCAGCAGGGGAAGGTGGAAGAGAGAGAAAAGCCCAGCTTCCAGGACTCAGGAACATCTTCGTGACAGACTACATCAATAGAGGGAATTCCCCAAGGCACGGCAGAGAAGTTGTGCAGAGTTCTAACAGGCAGAAGATCTCTGACAGGGGAGCAGGGTGCAGTGAGGAAATGGGGGCTTCCAAAGCTTCACTGTGTGTGGAAATAGATGGGCTTGACCTTCCCAGAAAGGATCTTGGGCACTTGCACAGAGATGATCTCTGCCATCATTTCTGGAAAGTCCACGCTCACCATGTGGGACTTGATTAGCAGGTCAAAGGTGAACTGGTGCAGCTCTCGTGCAATCTGTGGGGGAAAATAAGGAGGGAAAGAAGAAAACACATTGATGAGGAGTTGGCTTCTGGCAGGCTCTCCCCACCCCCCCGCCTTTGATTTTCTCCTTCTTCCCTGTCCTTGGTCCTCCCAGCCTGTGTGTGTGTGTGTACACACGTGCTAAATGGTCTTCAAGGAATCACAGAGGGCTCCCAAGAGATCTCTTACACAATTGTAAGCTCTCTGACTCAGGACTGGGTATTCCTCTTGCACGGGGCAGGTGTTCTCTGCTCTCTGTCTCTCTGTCTGTCTCTCTCTTTCTTTCTTTCTATCTCTCTCTCTCTCTCTCACACACACACACACACACACACACACACAAATACAAATGCATGTGCACAGAAACTCAGACACACACATCTCAAGGAAGAAGGGAAAACATCCAAGTCTGTTTTGTCTGCCTGCAGAACTTATCTGCTTTAAGCCCCTTCCCGGAGTCCCAACTGCTCTGTTCTCAACTCCTCCACCTGCTTCTCAACATCCAGCTGGGACACTGTGACCTGTGTTCCTTTTTTCTTCATTGCATTTTCTTCCTGGACCACACTCAGAGCCAGAGGGCAATCGAAGCACCTCCCAACAGGTGGTGCCAGACCCTAGGAGAACATATGATCGTTTGGCTCTATAAGGCTGCTCTCTCCCTGACAAAGCACCCTCCATCATTTGCTTACAGGCTGCACAGAGTCCAGGAGCTTGGTGAGCTGGTAGAAGCGCCTTGAGCAGGATGTGGGATTTTTTCTCTTGCATGCAATGATACGATCAAGTTCCTTGATGTAGTTCATTCGAAGTTCATCAAAGAATTTTTGATTTTTCAGCCCATCCACTGGAACTGATGTGGGATGAAGACAGAATGGGGAGGGAAAGCATGCCCCCGAGGGAGCATTAGATAAAGCACCAACTTTTCTGACCACAAACTTGACCCCAACCCCCAGGGAGGCGATCATCTACTTGGTTTCCTGCAGTTAAAGTCTGTATGCCTGGGGCTTCCAGTCTGCTAGGAAGGTCTTAGGGAAATGGCTAGCTGGACTCGATTCGAAAGGCAGCAAGAACAGAAAGTCCACTGAGCCTTTCCTTTTTCTACTCTTATCATCTACACACTTCTTAGGACCTATGGTTTTATACTGCCTACAGTCCAGCTCCGATTTAGACAATTAAGGCACATGGCTTTGAATATCCATTTTGGCCTTATTTTGCTGTCAGTCACAGAGGCTGAGACAGCACTCTGCTTAGAAGACACATTAAGGGTTCCTTGGCTGCCAAGCAAACCCTGTCTGAATTACTTACATAGACCTTCTCCTGTTGGCAGAAGAGGAAATTCCTTCCAGAAGGCAATTCCTTCTGCCCTACAAGAAATATAAGGTGGTCCTTGCCTGTTTCTATGGTAGAAGCTTTGGAAAAATGCAGAGACCTGCTACAATCAGCCAAAGAGGCTTTGTCCCAAAGAGAGAATGGGGGTAAGTAGGATTCTCATGGAGGTCGAGTTTTAGCCAACAGATTGGTCTCTAGCCATGAAGTTTATTCTTGTGAGGAAAAATGATGGGAAGGGAGGTGAAAGAAGAAGGAAATGTCCAGCAGCGGGCTTGTCCCTGAGAACCCTTTAAGGAGAGAAGCAGCTCGTCTGAGCCCCTGTGCCCCGGGGGGCGCCCTCCACCCCACCAGCACTCACTAATGCTGAAGAGCAGCAGTGCCTTCATGCACAGGAATTCCTGGGGCGTGATTTGCAGCCAGCCAAATTCTTGAGAGAGGTGCCTCATTCGGACACATTGGCTGTACATCCGGGACTTGTGCATGCGGTACCTGAGAAGAAGACGAATAGGGGAAGCTTTACCATAAGGCCAAGAGCACGTCTCTGGTTACCCTCCCCTCCCCAGATTCTCCAGGAAGAGATGCTGTTGTTTCTCTTACTGCTACTTCAGCGACAGGGAACAAGGCTGTTCTTTTCCCCCCAAAATCCTGACATCCTGATAACTACTCATCTTCCCTGGCCAGGATATGGGTTAGTACATGGAATTTCCAAGCCCCCGTGCCCCTTCTGTTTCCTGAGATGGGGACAGGAAAGCCTCACCAAAGGAACACAATGGGCCAGGCACACGGTCTCCCTGACTACAGTTTTACTATCTCAGCCACAGCCAGAGCCAGAACATGTCTTCCAGGCACCCCAACTTGGAGGACTTCTAGGCAACAGGGCTTGGAAATCAACTCTTAGCATTGGGACACCAGGATCCCCACGTGACTACAGATAGTTCATCGTGTCGCTTTCCCTGCCTGTCAGCTTGAATGCCATTTTGCATACTAGAAACTTAAACACTGCTAGGGAAGGGGATCCCCCCCAATCGTCCCTTCAGAAGGAATTCCAATGCTTATCAAATCATCCAGCAAGTGTTTCTGAATGTTCAATCTAAGTATCCCCTGCTGAACCGGAGCCTACACCCTCAGGTACTGGCCATTCCTTACCACGGTTTGGGAGTTATAAACATGTGTCAGTTGATTTGATTCTAGTGACTTATGAGCATATCATCACATTATCACCTACAAATTATATAGGTAAGTAGCCAAGGCTTAGATAGCTTCTCGGGGGGAGCAACCTCTCTGTTCCATGACTGGCCATGGCAAGCCTCCTCCTGCTAATAGGCCTTCCTGGTTTTCAGCAAGGAGACCTCCCAGCCTGGGCCTGAAGGCTGTGGTTTAACATTTCGGTTCCCAAACCACTAGTGGAGTCCACAGGCTGAGCAGGCCTGGTATAGCCTGGATGGGAGCCTGGCATCCCATCTCAGGGAGATCTTGGCTGGTCTGGAGCAAAAGGGAAGGGGGCAGATGCTGTACAAATATGCAATTCCAGCTGGAGCCCAACTGGCAAGATAAAGGGTTGATGTAGAATCTCAAATCAACTGACCGGAAGAGTGGTGCTGCAAACTCTTTCACCCTAGAGAATGTTTGAGTAAGATCTGCTGCCCCTTGAGTAAGATCTGCTGCCCCTGGGGCATGGGACTGCTCTGGTCTCCACTGCACTACCAAGCTTCTGTTGATGGCAACACTGCAGTCTGTTTACCACCGAAATCATGGTTCTAACATGGAGGATTATGGTAAC